TGGGGGCACCCCCGGGTTTTTTTCCCCCCCCCCCCCCCCCCCCCNCCGGACGTAGACCTGGCTCCGCCATTGAGCATTTCAAGATCATTAAGCCTCTCACGAGTTGCTCTGAACTAAAAGTAAATTCCTACCAAGTAGTAAACGAGGCATTAAGTCCAAAACTATACAACGTCAGATGTTCATCCGCGCTTCACTTGTCAAAGATACATTGATAAAATCGAAGCAGCTGACATGTAAGAAGCATCCCCTGATCCTCTTATGTGTTTTGACGTCATCTGCGAGGCGTTTAGAATTAACCATACACCGTATTTCCCAATTATAGATTTTATCAACAACAAAAAAATAATAATTCTCCGGTACCCAAATTTTCAGACAGAAGATATACTAGTGAAAAAGATTTCTAGTTTTTTGATTTTTGTACAGTTCTGGTACTTCTGCAAACTATTTAGATGTATTTAGGGCCCAAATCGACCTCCACGAATGACGAAACAAGACCTTTAATGATCTGATACACAGCCCATAATAGCTGATAATTTACACGGTATTTGTAGCCAATCAGTTATAGCGTTCACAGCTCACCGTCCAAATTTGAGCCTTCAAGTCCATGTGTGTCCAGAATTATCCGTATTTGAATGTTAAAATGACGACTCGTCATGTTTTTTTTTCGTACACTTCGAGTACTTCTGAAGACTATTAACATCAAGACTGAAATCAACCCCAAAGGTGCCTAATCTGTCCCTTTAAATTTATGGGGCTCGAAATAGCAATACACAAGAATAGAATGGTTTTGAGTTTCATTTATTTAAGTCATATTTCATAGTTGTCTTTCATAATAATTTAAAACGCAATATCCCATGGTGTTTTGACTGCCGGGTATCACATCACAAAATTCCTAATAAAGTCAACAACTAGTATATAATGTATCATCGTTTATATAAAATAAAATAAAATAAAATATAAAATATTTTGAAAATACGCTATGGTATCTACTTGATCAAACTGAATTGGTTTAAAAGATTAATTGAATTTAAAAAGATTACATGAACCTTTTAAATAGTTTTGACGTTTAATAGCAAGACTTTTTAATTTAAAACTTTCAGATAAGTTATTAGACATATTTTCATATATATGAGCAATATTGTCAAAAGACTTTAATGCCCCTTTAAGAAAATGAATAGGGATTTTCTCAACTTTTTATGTGAATTGGTCTATAGAAATCGTTTCTATCAATGTCACTGATACACATACAAAATTTATAAAATATATTACAATCTCTTTAAATATATGGACTGTATGAAGAGTGAATTGAATGCATATTATGTGCTAACAATGTGAATATGTTTAAGATTAATTTCACTCGTTCAAATTTTGAATTGATCTTAGATTCAAATAAACTGCATGGGTGTCGCCTAGGGTGAATTGGGCTTCTACTTTTCACACAAACGATACACTATTGTTTTACCTAGGGCACTCTTAAAGTGACAGGTGGGCCTGATTTGAGTCTTCAGAGGTACTAGGAATGTACGAAAATCACATAATTCCTTTAATAATACTTCAAACTAGAAAGTTTACTCATTGTTTCTATATATGTTTTTTCGCCATATCGGTAGGAGATGTTAAAACCAACACTTTTCTCCTTCTTTTATTACAGTCAAAATGTGGTGATATTCTTATAGCCATTAACCCAAACAGACCCCTTCCAATATATGATGCAGAGGTTTGTACCAACAACTAACTAATTATGAATATTGTCCAGCCTGGCCCTTTTATGATTCCATATCCCCTACATGTTTTTACCTGATTTTAAAGTCATTTTGAAGAATTATGCTGACTATTTGCATTTTGGTGATATTTTGGAATATAGTTAGTTTATCACTTCTAAATCGTGATCGTTGTAATTTTAGATTTTGAATCTATCATTGCCTCGAGTGGTCTCTTATTTATTTCTTTAAATCACATGCGGTTCCAGACTCTCCCTTATATAAAAAAAATGATAAATTTAAACAAGGTTATCGATCGATTATTGTTTAAATAACACCTTCATTTCCTGAAATGCTCCCAAATGTGCAGACAGACGCACTTTTGTTACTTAAAAACAAATGATATTCTTTTCAGCATCATCAAAGGTTCCGATGGCAAAACGCATCAACTCAACAAGAGCCTCATGTGTTTGCAACAGCAGCTTTGGCTTTCCAGCGTCTGGTAGAAACGAAAACGGACCAGGTCATCCTGGTTAGTGGGGAGTCTGGCGCTGGAAAAACCGAAACGACAAAGTTCATCATAAAACATATTGTTCATCTTTGTGGAAATGCACAGAGTGATCTTCACAAAAAGATTTTAAATGTAAGTTCATTGTACTATATTCTTAAGAATAAAGAAAAGACCCTCGTTAAAATATCGTCATATCCAATTGCTTGCATCTCCGTAATGTAACATTACATAACCAGGACGGTTCCGCTGTTTGGTCTCTTATTGAAAAGAGAGCTCCCTTCTGTGGCCAATAGTTTGGGATATGTAGTTCTAATCAGAGCAAGTTTGGGAATTCCTATACTTTAATTACTACTATCGAAATTATTGAATTATCGAATGTCCCCGTGTTTAATTCTAGATTAACCCATTGATGGAAGCATTCGGAAATGCCAGAACAAATTTAAATGGTAACTCCAGTAGATTTGGGAAGTTTATTCAGATTAATTTTGATGCTGAAGGTGGCATTCAAGGAGGTAAGATACGCGACAAACTTATTCATGAGCATAAACAATGTGATAATTTTATTTGCTAAATCTCATCCACAGTTTGCTATGTACCGAAAATAGTACTTATAACTGTCATAATATAAAGAGTCAAAAAATGTTGATGCATATATGAAAATGAAAATGAATGGAGTTTTACGTCCTAATTGATGCATATGTATAGGGAATTTTAATCAGAGGCAAACACAAGGTAAAACTTTACACACCATTGGTGACTTTTTCAGCCGTGGTAAGAGATTATTTATTAGAAAAATCACGAGTTGTTCATCAACCAAATGGTGAGGGCAATTTTCATATATTTTATGCCTTTATTGCTGGTGTTGATCCTAGTTTAAAGAGGAAGCTTCTCTTAGACAAAAAAAGTTATCGGTAAGTATGACAATATCAGTTCTTTATTTCTGCTTCGAATTTTACTCCGTAATGATCACTGGTTTCTAACCTGTTTAACTGTTCGTACCCTTAACCTTTATCTTCTTCGGCTCAGTAATACTAATAGCGTTGCAACGCACTAGCCTCAGTGGTATAAGATCGACATCCCGACAAATCAAAACGAATGGAATTCTAGGGGTACTATATTTCTCTGGATAGGGTAACTGTTGTTACGGATATTAAGACTGCTAAGCCATTGCATTTCCTGCAGAAAGACTACATTGGTTAAAATGGCTGCTTTGTTTTCATATTTGGTTTAAATTGTCTTACAGAATAACCAAAAATATCGTTGGTGATCTTGACTATCACCGAAATCAATACAATGACTATTTAAAAATAATGCGACTTATTAAATTACCAAAAGAGGTAAGTTATGATTGTATTCCTTATTCTTCATAACGTGGTACTGACAATTGTATCTCCACGTTATGGCCTTATCATGCATCATTATTAATTATTATCATGAAGATCATTATTATCATCTTTGTTGTCCATTATTCAACATCATTATGTTCATTTGAATTATCAGTTTATTGTTATTGAGAATGATGATCATGCAATGTTATAAGTTTGTTGTCATTGATAATGCTAAATTATCAGAATAATCCATGCCAAACAATAATGATAATGCTATACTATTAGTATGTTGTAATGGTTGGTATCCGTTAATTATCATTGATAATGTTATCTTGTTAATCCGTTTTCATCAACACCAAACAATAATGATAATGTTATTATGCTAATGATAATGTTTATAATTGTGCTGTTATTATTGTTTTAACTATATTATCATGGATAATGCTATGATATATTATGTCTTTGCGTCTTCGTGTTAGTATTCTTTTTTCATACATTTTTCTATTCTGATACGTGGAATATTACAGGATATCGAAGCCGTTCAGATTATATTAGCGGCTATATTACACATCACAGAAATACGTTTTGAAGAAGATGGTGATTCTCAGGGTGTTGTGGTTTCTAATGAAGATGAAATGATAAATGGTATGACTTCTCATTATATCTGTAAATATTGCAAATGAAATAAGTATTTGTCAACAAGTTTACGCCATTTTTACGAATATGTTGATCAAAGATTCTCGTCCGGAAATGCGTAGTTTGAAGGTGCAAAAGCTCCATTCTGTCGAAAACAAGACATGATGCAAATCCTTTGTTGAAGAGTGATTCAAAGAAACGTAACAGCAACCAGAAATTCTATCTTCAAAAATCTTCGCAAAAGGTTGGAACTTCTCATAATCGAAGGGAAATGTCAAACAAGTTATAGAAACTTATTCAGAAATGGCAAAAAAAATCAGGCACTGCACTACACTAACATCTCTGACAATTTTGTTTTAGCTGCAAGTCTTCTTGGTGTTGACCCTGATAAGTTTGGTAAAAGTTTAGTTTTAGAGGACATCGTTTTACCAGGTAATAATATCTACTTCTATGATTGTATGTGTGCTATAGAAACTAGGCAGTGGAACCTAAGGCGATGACATCTAGGGAATCTACTCTATAATACAGAATCATATGATCATTTACGCATAATTTATGAAATAAATGTGTTAAAATGAATGAAATGAAATGAATGGAGTTTTACGTCCTACTTTTCTGTACCATAAATTAATGTGATAATTCGCGCATTTGCGATTTAAGTGGCTTCTGCTAACACAACCTCGGCCATCACAATGGTCCAGGTATTACGTCTTCATCATATACCTTGACTGCAATGACCCTTTTTCTTGCCAATTTATTGGATTGTACGCCAGTGAATACAGTTTGTCAATGCCTCCGAATTCATGCGTCAATAATTTTACAGTCTTTCTGTCAAGGGCTTATATTGGCTATAGTTGCTAGCGTACAATCCAATTAAATTGCTGCATGCACACTTCCGCGAAACAAGAAACAATACCTCGACATGAGCTGTTTGTTCCTACATAAAATATTGGGACAAAAGAGATTTAGATGTAAATACAAATAATACCACGCTGTTCTATTTTAACTATAGATGAAACAATAACAACTTTCAAAAGCCTGGAACAAGCTGAAGATGGACGGGATGCTTTGGCGAAATCATTGTATGAAAGATTGTTTGGTTGGATGATCCAAAATATCAACGTGTCACTACACACTCAGCAGGATTTTGGGTACGTCGGGGTTTTCTTTAATTAAAGGATGGTTTATGTGCGATTGGGAATTGGGAGTCATCTTGATTTCGTAGTCAGTGGCTAAACTAGATGAGTGGGGCTCGTGGACTTAAATGATTTTGGGCCCCTCCCCGGGGAATTCGTTTTTAAGCATTTGCTCTCCTGCTTTCTTTGGAAAGGCCCGTGGACTTATGGTAGTTGAGCCATTGTTAGTTTTTTAACCAGAAAGAAACATTGTAAATATTGAACTGATAATGCATCTCCTTCATGAACAATTCTATGTTTAACATTTATAGAATTCCTAACATATGTTTGGTTAGTGTTTTATTCTGTTGGGTATTGTAGAAATACCATTGTTGCATAGCATTAGATCTTTGGGTATTGGGTGGTGAGAGCCAACACCGGGCCGAGGGCATCAAATTTTGTTCTTACCTGAGGGTGATTCGAACCCAGTCGACTATACAACTCGCTAACGACTGAGCTATTCAACTGCCACAAACTGTTCATTAGATCTTTGGGTGTTAGTGAAGTCACCTTTGACGAAAAAATGAAACTTCTTGATTACATTTATTAAGATTGGTAGAATACAACTAATAGAAACTGGACTCGTTACTGATTGAAAGCTCATTTTGTAAGCGTTAACATTGTATACTTAATTGAAGGTATTTTTTTTTATTCCAATACAGAGCTGAAAGAATGGGAAGTTTAGGTATTTTGGATATTTGTGGCTTTGAGATTATGCGTAATAATGGACTGGAACAACTTTGTATTAACCTGGTGAATGAACAACTCCAAAGCTTCATGAATAAACAAGTGTTTATAAAAGAACAGGAGATCTATGAATCAGAAGGCTTGACATTGGAAGATGTTAACTATCCTGATAATGCTAAGATTATAGAGATGTTTACTATGGTATGTTTATTGTGAATTCCTTAACCTGTCCTTGTCCTTGTCCTTGACTAGAAAGAATACTATGAATTCGGTATATTATTGACTATTTTATTGCGGTATCCGATAGTTCACGTGATGAATCACTTGGTGTAAGTTGCATGTATTGACAAATCAATTATGTCCAAATGATAAATAGACGAGAATCATTTACAGGATGAATAGACAGAGGTTTGTTTACAAAATAAATAGAAGAAACAAGATTTGTTTACATGATGAATAGGCAGGGGTTTGTTTACATGATAAATAGACGATGCAAGGATTGTTTACAAGATAAATAGAAGAGACAAGATTTGATTACATGATGAATATAAAGGGGCTTGTTTACATGATAAATAGACGATGCAAGAATTGTTTACATTATGAATAGACAAGGTTTGTTTACATAATAAATAGAAGATGCAAGGATAGGTTACATGATGAATAGTCAAGGTTTGTGTACATGATGAATAAACAGTGGTTTATGTACAAGATAAATTGAACAGGTTTGTTTACATGATAGATAGACCAGGTTTGTTTACAAATTTCAGAATAGATACGGTATAATTGCCCTGATTGATGAAGACACCACATTTGCTCAAGCTACAAGCATGTCTTTGATAACTAAGTTACAAGATAAATGGGGCCACCATGACCATTTTGTTAGTCCAGTATATGATATTCCAGAATTTGGAATCAAGCATTTTGCAGGAGAGGTAAGTTGGTTATTTTTTTAAAAGAATATGGTATGGAACTTACTTGTAGCTCCCCCACCCCCAGATAACCCCCCAATTTTAAATTTTTTATTATTTTACATAGGGAAAAATTTTAGAAACGCCACTGATACCCAGTCGTTAAATTCTGGTAATATATGTAAGTTAGATGTCTTAATTCGTATTTCAGGTTACCTACGATGCTGATGATTTCATTGAGAAGAACGCCGACAATCTAAGTTCTGGTATATTTAGCTGTATTCAGGATAGTGAAAATGACTTAATCAGTGATCTGTTTAAGGTTCAAAAGTGTCTAACTGGTTCAATTTCAGCGTAAGTAGTCAATTATGCAGTTGTTTAACTTGTTCATTAAATCACCTCGACCAGTGTTCAAACGCCTCAGTTTGTCCCTGGATTTCTATATGTTTATGCTCGATATCATACTAAAGCAATAAGAAATGTTCTTTTCAGCAATCAATATAACTACAGACAGTCAAACTTGTTTTCAAGACCAATTTCACCTAGTAGAGGATCGCAGATAACAAGAAATACAGTAACAGAGCTTAGAAAATCCATGAAAAGCAAAGGGTACGTTTGTTTAACTATAGTTGTAATGTTTCTGTAAAATAAGTTCATATACTGACATTTTATTTCTTGTGAATGATTGATCTCTGAAACTGCGGCGTTTATAAGGAGGGGCGGGGTCAGTTACAAATTTCATATTAGTTCTTAAATGCCTGTGTCTATGCCTTGACTCTGTGGCCCAAACTCGATCAATGTTCACTGAAACAGAGCACACCGCGATGTGGTGGATCTGTATCTTTTTGCTATAATACCTTCGGATTTTTCAACCCGGTTTCCCCCTGTCAGTGATGCAGGTAAGAGGGGCTGACATTGAAAAAGCGTCAAGTCGTTTGGATGCGACAATAAACCGAGACTACAGGCTGTGCTTGTTAAAGATCTCTCAACAGTTGGAAATCGAAAAAGAGCAGGCTAATGCCGCTGTTCTGGCAAAATTTCTCTTATTGCGCCCTGCATGGCGTCTTCACTAACTCGCACGCTGCAGAAAAGTAGGACGTAAAACTCCATTCATTTCATTCGTTTTATTTTGTACCATTTTGCTGAATCTTGAAGATATGATGATTATTTTAGGTTGAATAGTAACATGCGGCCACAGAAAACATCACAAGATCATAAAACCCAACTTTCTTACTTCACGGTAAGCCAATACTGTACACTGAACCTTTGGAATGTCCTCGTTGTACAATGCGTGAAACAGAATTAATCCAGCTATCGTTTGTGATCCTTCTTCTGAAGATGCAGAATGTTTCTTTGACAACAGTCCTTTGCATTTAGAATTGTTTTCCATTGACCCTCTTATAGCAATGCATAGCAGTGGAACTATTATATACTTATCACTTACCAACCAACCCAGTGAATGTCTGTACATGTAGATGGTTCTTACTGTATTTATTGTAAAAACATGTGTGTTATTAAGTATGCGGATGATTTAGATCGTCCAATTTGTTCACATATTGTTTAGCTAAATAACAAATGAAACTTGCTTATTTTAGGAGTCCATCAAAGATCTCTTGAGGAAAATGAATTCAGCCGATCCACTTTTTATAAGGTCAGTTTTGTGTCATTGTGTTTTATGTATATAATAATTTGGAAAATGCAACTGTTTAAGATTATTATATAGAACAATAGATCAATATATCAAAATATATTAGCTGATATGACATCGCCATCTATTTACAGGATTGCTTACTGCCACGACTCCACACAATTCAGGTTTTTCAACCACTTTCTCCAATCGTATTTTTATCCATGACTGACACACGACTGTTACATCAGTTAAAAGGATTTTCTTCTTATTTTAGATGCATCAAACCAAATAATGAACAGCGCGAAAAACTATTTGTGGACGAAAAAGTCAATGAACAACTGAGCTATTTGGGTATAAAGGAAATTGCTAAAATCAGGAAGATGTGTTATCCAATAAGAAGCCAATATACAGACTTCTCTCAATGGTAATTTACTAAATTATATTTCATTATAAGCCTCTAACATCCTAAAAAAAAATAATGAACTGAGTGTTACCTAGACAATTAATTTATAATTTGCTTTGCTCTCTTCAAAATTTATTTCGATGGAAATTTTCCGAAAGTGTAAATGCTAAAGCTACACGAAGTAAATAAATAGTGTAAGGGTCATGGGCGGTAAAAGCGCTTACATATATCAATTTAACCATAAAGAATTTTTCTTAATGTGTATTGGGGACATTTATGTCTTCAATTTGCATTAATTCAAGTTTCTGCCGGATGTCTGTGGTAACTGTCTCTGAAATTTTTAACCCTATATGGCGTGATATCTTCGGGCCTTTGCGATATCTAAGTGACAAATGTGTTATTAGTTTCAATGGTGCAAAATGATGCTACCAGTGTCTCCGATAAACATAAAAAAAAGTTGCGATAACCTCCTTACAAATCCTGAAATACTGAAAAGTAATCAAAATCTCTTTCTTAATTACAGGTATAAAGACATTGTACCGACTTCCGAGAAGTCGAGAAGTGATGCGGATCAATCTAAATTCATTCTTAATAAGTTCATAAAGAGTAATAAAGAATATAAATTTGGTAAAACCCAGGTAAGTAATTAAAAAAAAGTTAAAAATTATTGGCAAAAATGTATTCTATATAGCACAAGATCGTAAATGTGGAAATAGCCTAGTTTATTTTAAAAGTGATGGCATATTAGAAGCACAGGTAATAGATAACTAAGACAATTATTATGAATAGATACTTCTAGAATTTTACGTACAATTTTTCAATGTGGTTCTCACATCGTCATCAAGAATTTAATGAATACTTACAACAAACAGTGGCTCAATTACTCAATTGTCTGGTTGAACCATGTCAACTGGCCCCAACCCTAAAGGGGTCTGGACCCCAAGAAAAAATGCAAGAGAGCATATGTTAAAAAAAATCCCCGCTTAATTCCACAGGCCCCCGTTTTTCCAGTTGACAACAATGAAACTTTTCTTTGGCTATATGAACAATTTTTTGAATTCATATGTTAAATATATTCAGATATTCATGATGGAAGCTGTAAAGAAAACCTTAGATCTTATACTGACAGTAAAACAGCGTGAAATAGATAGATCTGTTAAAAAGGCGGCACGAAAATGGAAAGAAATTTGGACTGAAAAGAAAATAGAAGAACAAAGAATGAATGAGAAGTTTAAAGCAGAAATTGAAGCATCAAAACCTCTACCCAGAGAGCGTCATGCATCTGTTAGATTTGTAATACCTTTTATTTTTCATGGTCTTAATTTTAATCATGTTTTAAACTAGTTGTCCTGATAAGGATTGTGTATCCAAAATTATGTGTCTGATGATGATCAGATTTCTCAAACACGTATCAGCCACACCAAAATTAGCAGTGATTTGAAATAATCTACCTTTGAAGATGCACTGAAAGGTGACAACTTCTTATTTGTGATACATATTTTGGTTTAACATCAGTGTTGCAATTGTCCAATACTTGCCTATTCTTTATGAATGGTTTCTATTGGTGTGTTGAATAAACAGTATAATATTGGAAGTGTAGATCGTGAGCATTCAATTTAAAAACAAGATATTCCTCTATTTTGGTCTAGGTTAATAATTCGTCAAAGTCGCCAATTGAAGCAAACGTCGGTACATGCTATTCGTCTGAGCCAAAATAACAGAACAGCATAATAAATTAAATTAAAGCACTCACTTACATATCGTGTAAGGTGTGTGAACCTAAATTAAATTAAATTTACTAAAATACTAATATCTTAGGGTTTGTCTTTCAGGATTCGGAGACAATAGATGAAGTTCCAGATGATGACTACAGTGTTCTCTCTGACTCAATCCGTGGATCTGAAAGCCAGACAAAATCTATCCAAGAATCACAAGAATCACAAGCATCACAAGCATCACAATCCAGTCAGCAGAATAATACCGATTTGTTCTTTAAGAGTAGCAGAAGAAATGCAGATACTGATGATGACAATGTGGAATATGATGATATTAAGTAAGAAAACTATTACCATTAAGATATGTTAATGCGGTAGAGCAATGGATTTTCAACCTTTCCCCCCTGAATTACCCCATTTCAGGATCCTTGATCGATTGCATTACCCCCTTCCCCCTATCAATCTATACCATCACGTGATTTTCTGTTTTTTCCCCTGCAATCATTTTCCTATCGGAAAATATACCCTGATTGAATAGAACGATTTGATTCGGTGTAAGAGGTGGGGTGTGTTTATTCTTATACTGGTCCAAATATCTTATCCTAGACTACAGAGCGCTTCATAATATAAATATCAGTCAGAAGGTAGATATAAGATTTCAAGTCAGCAAGTTTATCACCAAAGCACAACTTTATTGATAATTGAAAAGTCAAGTATATGTAGATGATTGTTATAGTTCAGTATCTTATATTGTGAATTTTTTTTTATTTCAGATTTTGGGATGTATTTGAGATTGTCAATCCGGACTCAGAATCCAGTGGCGTACCAGGGGAAGCCATAATACGTGTAATTAAGATAATTCTGTATTTACTCTTTTTCTGCATTGTATTGGGTTGCTGTGTTTGTCAGAAGCTGAGTTTAATTATAACAGTGCAAAATATAAATCCTACAAATGCAACGGTAAGTATGATTAAAGGGGAATGAATTACTAAATTCAAATGAAATGTGAATTGAAAACAAAATGTCCTTGTGGAAAGTGTGTTTAGTTATCACAGCCACGGGGGAGCAATGCCCCCGAAAAATTCATTTCTAGTGGAAATTCCAGTCTTGGACTTAGACAACTGGACAGCAGTTTATTCTGAGCGCTTTTTATTTTTATAAGGAAGCAATTTCCCTCCAATGTAGTGTAAATTCATAAAAAAAAATTGTTAAGTAATATTAAGCAAAATGCTATTGAAAGTGGTTTATAAGCGATGTTAGTTGTGATTTTTCTTGTTTTAGAATAGGGATGCGAATAACTACATCAAAAATCTTGTATTAGCTATTTGTATACCAACATCATTGAATATTTTGATAAGTACGTCTAAGCTGTTGTTTGGGCATTTTAAATGTCCTTCTGTGATCACCTTTATACTGGTAAGTGTATGTTTATATCTTGTTTTAGGCTGTTATATATGGTTTTTTTTTCTTCAAGGTACGGAATATAAAGCCTGCAAATTATCAAATTTGATATTATTATTATTTCATTAGTTCACCGATTTTGGGATTAGGACGTGGTACCACTAATTGTTCTTGCACGCAAGGAAATTTTGTCCTTTTAAAAAGAAATCTTGTCCCTTTAAATAGAAATGGAATCGATTCTAAAATCGCCAATTCTACTTTGATATGAGAGAGGTCCATTAGACCGGCATATTGACGTTATATTAAAAGGAATACTAGCTCTTGGGCTGACCAATGAATCCTTTATAATTCTATAAATCCATAAAACTAAGTAATTATCCATAAAACTACAGTTAATTATTGAAAAACGCTTGTTTAATCTTTAAGCGGTTATTAATTACGTTGCTAAACGAATTTATATTCATAAACAGGGATTCTTTTGTATGATATCAGGTAAATCTGCTGATGGTTCAATACTCTTCATTGTGACTTAAAATCTTATGCTCGTTCTAAGAGGTAGCGTTCCAGGAATATTCCTTCAATGAAATGACTGAAGAGATAATGGTATTGTTTAATCACAATTAAAGCTGCCAATGGGCGTATATTACCATGTCTGGCAAGCTATCTTCTTCATTTCAGGCTATCTTCTGTGAAGTTATTCATGCATTTGGACTGTGTCTCTTAGTGTATGGGGTATTGCCTTATTGTGAAAATACCATACTCATGGTTTTATTATTATCGGCTGTTGCTATTATTCCCTCGATACTGCTAACACTTACAGCTACACATAAGATCACGAAGGATGATAAAATAGATAGGTGCTCTAAAACTCGAGTGTGCTTTGCCCTTTCAAAGATGTTTGATGGACTGAGTATTCTGGCCCAAGGGTCGGTCATTGCTGTTATGCTGCTTTGGTTCAAAACGGTGGAACCCAAACGTAAAGATAATATGGAAAATGTACCATTTGACTTCAGAATTATTGAAATTTGCATGGGCTTCGTTTGTGTATCTGTTGGATGGTGGGAGAATTTTTTGGATGATCGTTTCCTGTGCTCATTGAGCGACACAAACCGTTTGAAGAACTTTAACCTGTTTATACGGTACGAACTTCAATCTGGACGCCATTATACAGTTATTCCAGCATCAGTTGCTAAACTTCTGGTTGTTTTATTCATGACCTATGCCTACTTTCCATCGATAATTGACGACATTCTTGGAGGAATTCCAAAAGAAGGTGAAATCATCCTAGTTCCTGTTATAATGCTGCATCTAGCAAGTATCGTTGCGTTTTATATTGGAGGTCTGGCATGTAAGTTGGACATGCAGATCATATCGTTTTCTCTCTCACTGGTTTTAGTCACTCCACTTACCATAGTGGCTATAGTACTGGACTGTGAATATAAATCTATATCGAAACTGATGGAAGTAAAAGTATGTACTGAGGAAGGACTATCTGGTCCCTCTACAGATTTAGTCGTAGGTGTAGCTTGGTCCCTGTCATTAATGGGGATACCAAGACATTTTTGGTTTCCAAGACAAGAACGTTTACCCAAGCATGAAAGGTAATATTGTTTTCTTAAAAAATTGCTTGGGGAAAATCAAATCCGGGTAATATGTCCCAGTACAGAGTTTACCCCCACCCCCCCCCCCCCCCCCACCCTTTCCTGAAACCTGTAGTTGTATGCTTTTCAGGCAAGTTCAGATTGAAACTTATAAAACTAGTTCCAAGCTGCCTCAACATCCTCAAAATGGCATCTAGTTCAGCAACTAAAATCCGTTCGCAGTTCAATATTGGTTTAACCCACGAGCATTACCAGAAAGTTACTTGGAATACGGTCTGGAATTCTAAACGCTAAAATTTCATAATTAGTATGAATTGTACTTCTTTGTAGAATGTTTGTAAATCCACTTTATTGTGTTGTGTTGACGACTGAGTCATTCCTGTTAAACCGTAGACGACACATGCGACGAGTTCTGAAAACTGTCACCAAAAAGGATAAAAACGTTGTGACGTATAAACTTGCGAGAACGGAAAGTAAAGACGATGAGAAAGAATCAGCAAGTAGTTTCAATGATAACGAATCAATTTACCCTAAAGATGATCAACCACAAAATGCAGAAGTCCCCATGGTTTATGCATGTGCTACTATGTGGCATGAAACTAGGACAGAGATGGTACAACTGATGAAATCTATTCACAGGTAAAGAAATATAACTTTGTAAGCTTTAGAATTTTAACATTGACTTATGTTACAGGTAAGCATAAATGACGTCGTCGTCGTTCAAATTTCGTATGTTTGGATGTGATGTCTTACTCAAATCTTTAGTTTTCTATCTTTGGTGAAGTACGTAAGGAAGAAATGATAACTAAATTTGCAATTAGATATGATACACTCTCCAAATACTTTCTTCATACTTAACTTACCATACCACTTATTGATCTAATGATTGTTTTAGAGTCGATGCTGAACAATGCATGAGGAGAACCGTTGAACAGTTGTCGGGGCCAGATCCCGATTTCTTTAACTATGAAGGTAAATAACATTTTTTTTATGGATTATTTCTAGGTGCCATAGTTCGTTAGTTTGCAGTGGTAGAAATCGTATAACGCCAAGACAGAGTTAACTAATATGCCTCATACTGATCTCACCCCAGCAATTCAACGCTTTGCGAATTCGAAACCTGGCGTTTCTACGGGGGAAACAGAAAAGATGCTTGCCTGGCTTTCAATTTTATTATTATTATACATAGCGGAAGAATGGTCTGTGATCAACATCAAAAATATGCTAAAGTCTCATATCATTTCTGGATTTCAGCACATATATTTTTTGATGATATTATGGAACAAAACGATGACGAAGAGTGGCAGGTTAATGATTTTGTTGCGCTGCTTGTTGAATGTATGGAAGAAGCAATAAGGTAAACTAAGGGAGATTTTGACGAAAATGGGTGGAATAACAGAGACGTTATATGGCTTGCATAGTGTCTTCCTTCTAACAATTTGTTTTATCAAAGGAAATGTGCCTTAAAATACCAAATTGACTAAAAAATAGCAAAAAAAGAACTTTATAGCTTTTGTGAGCAGGATCCGTCCCCCCAGCCTCCGGTTTTATGATGACCAGAATAGGCTATCTGCTATTTCAACCACACAGGAAAAGTAGGTTTAACGCTGCATTCAAATCAAAATAATACAACGCTGGTTTTCCCATTTATTCTGTCATACATTCTGTCCTACATTCTGTCTTACATTCAATGAATATTTTTCGAGAATTATTTATTTATTTTTCTATTTAGCTCTGTGCTTAAGACATACTTAAAACCTCACCCACCTATTAAGATATCTACGCCTTATGGTGGTCAATTAGTGTATAAAATGCCTGGTGGGAACCTCCTCTACATCCATCTGAAAGATAAGAACAAAATTCGACATAGAAAGCGCTGGTCACAGGTATGTGTATCTACTATAAGCGTATCAGCTATGAATTGCAAAAGGCAATTTATGTAGGACACTCAAGTGGATGCCTTAAAGGGACCGATTCGTCATCCATTTGACCTTTGTCTTATAAACTAAAATAAACTTTTTGCATTTTTCATATTACATAAGGAATATTATTGGTATATTTTATGGAAGTCACCAAATCTTTACTTTTCTTTGATTTACTTCCACAAAAACCTTAGACAAAAAACTATAATCTCTCTTTGCATCCACGTATACTTGCTAGTTGTTGTGAGTTTTTACTTTCGCTAGTTGACTCCCATCATGTTCTATTCCTTTCTGGTTTTCTAGGTTATGTACATGTACTATCTGTTGGGATTCAAGTTACTGAAAGGTTGTAGAGATGAAGCATTGGAATTATTTAAAGAAAAAGAAGACAGGTTGAAGGCCAAAAACAGTGCGAGGCAGACACTGGCGTCTGATTTAAATGAAATCTTATCAGATGAAACCAAAATTCAGGTAAGCAAACGCTACACTTGCCTTAGCAATGATTATGCTAACGTCTCCCTACAGTCTTTGCCTGCAGTATCACGCAATGTTAGCTAGCGTTTGAAGTATATTTTGCAAACCAATTTTATTGGTTCTCTATTGGATTTGCTTATTTTTTGCCTGATTACTTAGGCCTTTTTCGTGCTCACTCTAGTTGTAGTAGTTACCATTTCCCAAACAGATTTTCTTATACAATAATTTCACGTTCAACTAAGAAAACCTTGGAATGGTGTCATTTCTGCCGACGCGAAGTGGACGTGGTTTTTATTGTGAAAAGTTAAATGCATTGTAAACGAAGTATAATTTAAAGCAAATTTTCCTATGATCCGAATCCGAATAATATCATTTTTTCAGTCTGAGAATACGTTTATCCTAGCCTTGGATGGAGATACTGACTTTAGTCCTGTTTCTGTTCAAATTTTGTTGGATAGAATGAAGAAAAACGACAAAGCTGCTGCAGCTTGTGGACGAATTCATCCAATCGGCTCTGGTAAGTTAAAATCTTTTAAAATAATTTCATTCTTGGTAAGCGTCACCAAATTTGCAATTTGGCCATTTTATAATTGGTATTTTTTTTTTTTTTTTTTGGATGAGGCATCGTTTAGTTTCTTCTACGGGGGTGTAAAAATCCACTCTTGAAAGTTGGTCTTGTTATCTTACTCTAGGTCCAATTGTATGGTTTCAAAAATTCGAATATGCAGTTGGTCATTGGTTACAAAAAGCTACGGAGCATGTATTTGGTTGTGTATTGTGCAGTCCTGGATGCTTCAGTTTGTTTAGAGCATCAGCTCTAATGGATCAAAATGTTATGAGGAAATATACCATATTACCATCAGATCCAGGCCACTATCTTCAATATGATCAAGGTAAATACATCCAAATAGTTTAATGTTTATAAAAAAAATAGTATACCTTAATATTACAATGAAATTCTCTTATTTCCTGCGCCGTTTAATGACTTATCTGAGGAAATTTTCCTTGAAGATTTCAAACTCTCCAAAAATTAGTCCTACATCAAAACATAAAAGCTATATTAAAATCTATAATTGAGTTATCGGTAATTCAACTGAACCCTTTTCTTGTAGGCGAAGATAGATGGTTGTGCACGTTACTGCTTCAACAAGGATACAGAGTGGACTATGCCGCTGCTGCTGATGCCGTAACATACGCACCAGAGGGCTTCAACGAGTTCTTTAATCAAAGACGCAGATGGATGCCTTCCACTATGGCAAATATTATGGACTTACTTGGAGATTACAAGAATACAATAAGAAACAACAACAATATAAGTATGATATATATCATCTACCAAGGTGCATTAATGTTGTCCACTGTTTTGGGCCCTGCAACTGTACTGATGATGATATCCGGAGCTTTCAAAGACATATTTGAACTTGATATTTTGTTGGCATACGCTTTATCGCTAATACCGGCTGCAGCATTTGTTGTTATTTGTCTTGTATGCAAGAGTAAAACCCAGTTAATAGTGGCTGTGTTCCTGAGTACATATTATGCTTTTGTCATGGTTGTTGTATTAGCTGGTACTCTTAAGAATGCTGTGACAGAATCTCCTTGGCATCCTAGTGTTATTTTTCTGTTGGCACTGGTTATAATCTTCATTATAACTGGATTGCTGCACGTTTATGAATTTTATTGTCTACCATGGGGAGCTCTTTATTTTTTGTGCATTCCATCTGGTTATTTGTTGCTTGTAATCTTTTCTCTTTGCAATCTTGATAATATTTCATGGGGAACTCGGGAAGTAGCCAAAAGGAAAACAAAGGCTGAACAAGAAGCAGAAAAAGCAGCACAAAAATCGAAGAAGAAAGAGAAGGAACAAGGATTCTTTTCAAGGTTCTTCTTAAACAAAGGTCTTTTGAATGACCTGAAAGAAATATTTGCTTTTGGAAAACAAGACAAGGAAGATGCTTTACTTTTAGAAATAAGGAGCATGAAAGAAAAATTATCTAAACTATCTGGAGAATCACACGATAAAGGAAACCTTGTTGAGATCAAAGTTGAAACTCCTTCAGATCACAAGACAGTTGAAATTTCCACGTCAAATCTCAAAGTATCTTTTGAGCCAATGGATGAGCCGTTAAGCAAGCAGAATAAAAGAAAGAACAGGGATCCTAACCTACCATTTTGGATAGAGGATCATAGACTCGGCAAAGGTGAGGTTCGTGCTTTGGACTCGGATGAGTTACAATTTTGGAAGGATTTGATCAAAAAATATCTCTACCCTATTGACAAAGATCCTGAGAAAGAACAACAAGTAAAAACTTCTTTACAAGAATTAAGAAACAACGTGGTCTATGGGATGTGCATGATCAATCTACTATGGATTGGAATTAACTTCATTTTCCAATACAAACCAAATGAGGCCACAATAATACTGTTACCTTATTCCTATAACGGAGCTAGTCTAAAGGTAGAAATTCTTGGTTTTTTATTCATCATCTTTTTTGGTATTGTTCTACTTCTGCAGTTTATTGGAATGCTCATACATCGCTATGGTACTTTCATTCATTTGATATCCATAACAGAAATAAATGGAGGGAAAAGGAACCAATCAGAAGTTGAAAAAATGTTAAATGCTTATCGACAAATACAAAATGACACCTTAAGCCAGACGATTGTAACACAACCACCAGACAACGAAGATCTAAGAAAATCTCTGTGTGCTTCACGGAGGTCAAGGAATCCACATATGCATATCAATCCAGATATATCTAAAAATATACGGACCACTGGACGACGATTGAGTAGACCTCTACCACACATTACATCTGATCCATTAGAAGATATAAGGCGGTTAACGGCAATGACTAAATCTAAACCCGCCCTAGGGTTTGACTTGAAAAAAACTGCTAAAGGATTGGTCAAACAAGCGGAACAACAAGGAATACAATTTGATAACGTTGATTTAGATCCTCCACCGGATTACGAAGAGGAAGCACAAGATCCTGTGTTTGATTTCTTAAAAGACAAAAACACAGTGAGTAGAATCTTTGCGAAAAAGTACCAAAAGCATGCTAATGCTCAAGTAAGACGTCCAAGTTACTATAACAGAAGAGGAAGTGCTGCTCAATTCGATAGTTTTAGTAGCAACAATCATAACGGTAGGAACTTTGGTTCATTTGATAACCACTTTAGTAGCACCAATTTCAACGGACGTATCGATAGCGAAACACCTATTGAGTTTACTCAGTTTTAAACCGTGTTACACAAGAATTAATTCATTTCTCAACGCTCAAAGCATCTTGAAAAAATTATTACCTTAATACATTGAAGAATAATATTTTGTAGTGGTCTGAACCGTGCTCTTCGGTATCAAGTAGACCAACAAGCTTACATCCATCGTTCTGCTTCAGGGTATACTTACCTTATGTCTGCTCTTTTGGGATTTTCTTGAAAATTGTTACGAACGGATGAGAAATCATGGAGAACAGAACATTATGTTTAAAGAGCCAAACAATATGCTATGAATGTATATGGCCACTTATTTTTCTATAGCATTTAGATCAATTGTCAAGCAAGGGTTGTCGATTTGACGAATCTTGTTCCAGAGAGCCTTCAGCGGGTGGGGAAACATGTTGTAATATTTTTGAAAGTTTAAAGTTCTCTTTTCATATTTTTTAATTGCTTTGTTATAATAATTTTAATTTTAATTTGATTTTTATTTGTATTTTTGAAGATATAATATGTGTCATTTGAGTATTCAGATTTGAATTACATTTGTATTAGTGTTGAAAATTCGATAGAAGTTTAAAAAATCTAACCTTGGCAGTTGAATTAGGAATAAGGTTGATAATCAACTATTATCTGCCTTGCCTATGTGTAATGTTTCCGCGGTCTGACCGCGTGCCCGAAACCTCTAAATGTACCCTGTTAGCTGTGTATATTATTATATATTGAGCCTTCCATCACTTAACCTTGGCCATTTCAGCAAATTTGTATTTGTTAACCTTCTAATGTTTTAAAGTATTATTAAACTATGTCTTTCTGACGTTTTATAACTCTATGCCACGTTTTGTACTGATTTCTCTGCCACGTTTATACATAGCTCTCTGTCACGTTTTATACATAGCTCTCTGTCACTTTTTGTACATATTTCTCTGCCACGTTTTGTACATAGCTCTCTGTCACGTTTTGTACATATTTCTCTGCCACGTTTTGTACATAGCTCTCTGTCACATTTTGTACACCTTCACCTTCTGAAGCCAACTAATTGTTATGAAGAATGGCCGTCTCTACATTTCTTACGTTCAAAGATTTAAACTATACCTCTGCAACATTTTTGACATCCTGTACCATCTTAGGCCAGTATGGAAATGTGGCTATCTTTGTACATCTTGCACCTTAACCATCATAACCATTCCTCGACACTTGAAAAAGGATAATATTTCGAAAACCGGTTCGTGTCAATTGCGTAAGTTTTTGTTTTACTTGTTATAATTTTTCACATCGTTGTTAGCGTTATTTATCACCTAAATATATATTTTTTTGCATTTTTCATCTTGCTTTATATATCCCCAAACCCAGTTTGACTTATTTGCATAATTTGATCCCAACATTTTCACGCTAGCATATACAGTTTCCTCCTGTTACATCCCCTTCTAACCCCAAGTTATTTTCATTATGCTCCCCAACTACAACAACCACTGGCAAGAAGCCAGAAATAGAAACACTAATCGTCAACCAAACCAATATCACGTACCCTACAACGGCCCTGTCTTCCATCGACCTCTACCACCTACCAATCGCCGACCACCAACCAACCCATCCAGCTATATCCCACCCCATCGCCGACCTACCTACAACACAGCCTACCAATCAAGAGGTAACCATCGACCTGACCAACAACAGAAACGACTACCAGCCCACCGACGCCAACCAGTCCCCACTCATAAGGAGGAAGAACCCTTTGTGAAGGTATTCTTCCAAGTTTTGCAGTGCCTCCATCATTTGGCAATCCTTACCCTTCAACAGCAAGGCCAACCAGCGTTTACCTTCAAACGCAAAGTCTCTGAGTTGGATAGTTTTATCCGTCCAGCAATGAAAACATCAGCTGTCGACGCGAATATTAGATCCCTCAATCGGACATGGCTCTGTAAGGTTACGCAGGTCCTGATCGACCATTACCAAACCACACTTCAAGAGAAGCTGACCACCATTCGTACCAAGTCTTTGTCATCACCTGCCGTCGACCGCATCGTTTCTCATGCCCTGTCCTGGGCCCGTCGCTCCTATGGGAAACGTCTCACTCAAGCTGTAATTCCAAATC